GTTTCACGAAGCGTACTTAACTTAAGTATGATTAAATCACTATAATCATACTTAACTTCCCGTAATTCTGATTAGTTAATCATACTTAAATATCTGTTTCCCGACACAGGGGAGAGATTCACCCAAAGTGACAAGTGAACATGGCAGGAAATCACACGTACATGCCCATCTTGAAATGAATCTACAACATGGACAACAAGCCAATCTGCGGGGTTTGTAAAACCAAAATTTTCTTGTACGCTCCGCGCAAACACGATGGTGGCGCTCCGTTCAGATAGTCGTGCCTACAACTTTGAAAATCCTGGCTACGCCCCTGATAGGCCCCTAGATATATAATTATACTCCTTGCAACGGAGTTGCAACGGAGGTCATGTAATCGCTCTGGTGTGTGTGTGTTGTGGTGTGTGGTGTGTGTGTGTGTGTGTGTGTGTGTGTGTGTGTGTGTAGCCACGCGCGATCGATAGCGCGTCGAGTCAGCAGCAGCCACCAGTGAGCGCGCGAGTCAGCAGCAGGCGAGTCAGTCAGCAGACCGCCACCAGCGAGCACATACATACATGCTCGCGGAAGGTATGCACTCTCCGTGAGTGCCCTCGTGTCTAAGTTTATATATATATATATGGTGTGTGTGGTGTGTGTGTGTGTGTGCGCGCCGCGCCGCGCGCCAGCGGGTGTGTGTGTGTGTGTGTGTGTGTGTGTGTGTGTGTGTGCGTGGTGTGTGTGGACTGACGTGTATGTAATCAGGAGTAGATAATAGGGAAGTATATAGTAGATATATAGTAGGTATATAGTAGATATACTATATAGTAGAATATAGTAGATTCCCTATTATCTACTCCTGATGTAATGTATGGGAGCGGGTTGCGCGTAACGATATAGACATCTTGGCGCGTCTAGGCTGTTGTTGTTATTGCAACAGTCGAGGTGATGACGAGACGCGTAAATTGCTTGGTGTTAGCTTCTTTGCATGTCTGTTGTCTTGAGGGCCGGTACTATTATATATAGCATTTGAGCGTCTGCTACAATTTCATCGCTTAATAAGAGGCAACCATCAACGCTAGGCGTTAAACTAGAGTTGATCGAGGTACAAATTAACAACGCCAGAAATGCAGTGACGCTTGACTTACAGCCAGGGTGAAAATTCAGCCAGAATGGACTTCAAATCAGGGAAGACTTTCAGTCAATGTGTACATTCAACTAAGGTAAGTAATTTTTCATGAAGTTAGTTCGTACACTGGCTCGGTTATTTTGTAAGTTGTTTAATTATTATAAGCCTGTGAAATACCACGTGGTGTGAAATCTATACTATCACCGAGAATATCGATGTGTGTAAGTATGTATAATAGGAATAGTCCGATGGAGTGCTACCAGGTGTACAGCCGTATTCGTGAAAAAACCCGGTTCTACTCTGTGACATAATATATTTGACTATTATATTGGCATATGTATGCGCGTGCCTGCGTCTCTCGCTCTCTCTCGCTCGCGCTCTCTCTCTCCCTCTCTAGGGGGGAGGGGGAGAGGGGTCGATGCGCGCGCAGTGTGTATGTGTGTCTGTATCTTGTGTGTGTGTGGTGTGTGGGGTGTGTGAGTGTGTGTGTGGTGGTGTGTGTGTGTTGTGTGTGTGTGTAAGCTATCGAACATATATGCCTGTCAGGCGCTGTTGAGGTATATTGATTACATTAACGTGTAAGATTATACTTTATCAATATTATTATTATTTTATTAAGATTATTCTATATCAAGTGGCGTTGGTCAGGTGGTCAGCGGAAGTAGCAGTCACCGCTAACTGAGGTCAGGGTTAGGATCAGGGTTAGGGTTAGCGGTAGGGGTAGGGGTAGGGGTAAGAGTGAAGGAGCCTTGACTTTGACATATAACATTGACATTGACATTGACTTTGACATTTGACATTTAGGAGTGCTTGTGCCTGTGCGCGTCAGTGTATATATTGTGTGTCTAGGTTGCGTAAAGCGTGTGCGTGCGGCAGCATTGGTAGTAGACATGGCGCTGTTGACTATTATGAATGCCTTGATAATAATTGCAAGCAGGCTGGACCACGGCGACGAGACTGGTTAATTGGCTGGTGTTAGCTTCCTTGCCATCTTACTGTCTGTTAGCAGGATATGCGGTATATAAGCCGGTCGAGCATGAGTTAACACAGCATTGCCAGATTGCAAGTTGTGTGAGTGATTGGTTGTGCTTAGCCGTTAATGTCGTCGATTGCAGCCATGTAATAGCAGAAGCCCCTTGATTAGTCAGCTGCTACGAGGCTCCTGATTGGTTGGTTGCTATGAGGTTCCTGATTGGGGTTGCTAGCAGGCACTGATTGGTCGGCTGCTATGAGGCCGCTGATTGGCCGTTTTACGAGGCCCTGATTGGTCGGCTGGCTAGGAGGCTTGATTGGCCGGCTGCTACGAAGCCCCTGATTGGTTGGTTGCTAGGAGGGCCCTGCTTGGTTAGCTGCTAGGAGGCCCCTGATTGGTCGGTTGCAACGAGGCTCCTGATTAGCCAGTTGCTAGGAGGCCTCTGATTGGTCGGTTGCAGCAGGCCACTGATTGGTTGGCTGCTACAAGGCCGCTGATTGGCCGTTGTTGACGAGGCCCCTGATTTGTCGCTGCTAGGAGGGCCCTGAGGGCGGCTGCTATGAAGCCCCTGATTGGTCGGTTGCTAGGAGGGCCCTGATTGATCGGCCTGCTAGGAGGCTCCTGATTGGTCGGTAGCTACGAGGCTCCTGATGTGGTAGCGGAGGAGGCCCCTGATGGTCGGCTGCTACGAGACTCCTGATTGGTCGGTTGCTAAGAGGCCCCTGATGGTTGGTTGATAGGAGGCTCCTGACTGGCCGGCTGCTAGGCAGCCCCTGATGGCCAGCTGCTACGAGGCCCTGATTGGCGGCTGCTGGAGGCCCCTGATTAGCCGGCTGCTACGAGGCTCCTGGTTGGTCGGCTGCTAGGAGCCCCTGATTGGTCGGCTGCTACAAGGCTCGTGATTGGTCGGCTGCTACGGAGGCCCCTGATTGGTCGGTTGTAGGAGGCCCCTGATTGGTCGGCTGCTAAGAGGCCCCTGACAGCAGCCGACCAATCAGGGCCTCCTAGCAACCGTCCAATCAGGGGCCTCCTACCAACCGACCAATCAGGGGCCTGTAGCAGCCGACCAATCAGGAGCCTCGTAACAGCCGGGCAATCAGCAGCCCACACACACACACACACACACACACACACACACACTGCAATCTATACACCGAGGGTACGACTAATATTAACGAATGCGTTTTTCATGTTCACCTCACAGAGACAAGGGAATCACCTCTAACCGAGATAGCTCTAGTAACTATAGCCCGCGTACTCGCAGGAAACCGTACGCGGGCTATAGTTACTAGAGCTATAACCGAGACAGCTTGGCCCACCTAAAATCCTGTACCTATAATCGAACAATCATACCTATGCAGGCGGAGCATGCACTTAGCGGCGTGACTCTTGTCTATCGGGATTGAGTTTTTCACCACGGTTTTCTCATTTGGTATAGCGGACGTTACACACGGGGGCCGGCGGCCATGAGCAGGCCGTATGCGCATTTGATTTGAAAGCATCATGGCGAACGGGTGTACAATCAGGGAGGCTATCGAGTCAGATCTGCCGCATGTGATTAAATGGTGCAAAGAATATTTTAATGTTGCGTTCGAGATTGAGATGTTTAAGATCGTGATGAAATACGGGGAAGGCGGTGGAACTTTCACGGCAGTGCTACCTAGCGGGGAACCAGTCCGCAGTCGGTACGTTCTATAAACTATCTCGTAGCCGCAGATTTGGCGGAAAACCGTTATGCGTGGTCCTTGCTCGATATATATATAGTAACAAGAGCTAATAAATACCAAGGTAGGTATTTGCTCTTGATAGTAAGTTAGGCGATAAACTACTTGGATAAACAGCTTGGATAAACCCAATTAGCAGAATTTACACACCAAACAGGTGCCTGCATGGTGCTGACCTGTGCACTATTCCTGTGGCATTATCTCGCTTTACACGTGTAATCAAGAGCGTATTAAGAGGGTTCTTCTTAAGATTTCTTCTTAATACGCTCTTGGTGTAATCTTGGTGTAATGTAATACGTAGCGTAGCGTACGTAGCGTAATGTAATATAACGTACGTAGCGTAATGTAATATAATAAGCAAGCGCTGGTTGTTAGCCTGTTAAAAGAATGATTGGAATTTCTCTTCTGGCTCGCATTGTAGCTGTAAATGTTATCAGGAGTGAATAATAAAGTTGTTTATCTCTATATATTATTTCTATTATTCACTCCTGATGTTATCAAAGACGCCTATAAAAATAGGCGCACTACGGCGCTACCCAGCCAGAATTATGAGAAGCCAGAAAAGCCTGTCAGGGGCCTCTTAGCAGCCGACCAATCAGGGGCCTCCTACCAACCGACCAATCAGGGGCCTCGTAGCAGCCGACCAATCACGAGCCTTGTAGCAGCCGACCAATCAGGGGCCTCCTAGCAGCCGACCAACCAGGAGCCTCGTAGCAGCCGGCTAATCAGGGGCCTCCAGGCAGCCGACCAATCAGGGGCCTCGTAGCAGCTGGCCAATCAGGGGCTGCCTAGCAGCCGGCCAATCAGGAGCCTCCTATCAACCAACCAATCAGGGGCCTCTTAGCAACCGACCAATCAGGAGTCTCGTAGCAGCCGACCAATCAGGGGCCTCCTCGCTACCAACCAATCAGGAGCCTCGTAGCTACCGACCAATCAGGAGCCTCCTAGCAGCCGACCAATCAGGGCCCTCCTAGCAGCCGACCAATCAGGGGCCTCGTAGCAGGCGGCCAATCAGGGGCCTCCTAGCAACTGANTTTCTCTCTCTCTCTCTCTCTCTCTCTCTCTCTCACTCACTCTCTCTCTTTCTCTCTCGCGCGCTCTCTCTCTCTCTCTCCCTCCGTCGTCGTCGTCGTGCGTGCGTGCGTGCGTGCGTGCGTGCGTGCGTGCGTGCGTGCGTGCGTGCTGTCGGTAGATGGCTACGGAGCCGTAGATGTGTCCGTGTCCGGCATCGCCGCCGGCGGTCACATGGCGCAGCAGATGCTCATCTCACACTCTAGCTACGTCACAGGAGCAGCTGTCATCGCCGCAGGTACACACACGTAGATTCATATAGATAGCACGATAGATATACATGATCATCGTGTAGTACTATGGTATACGCACGTAGAAATGTCGCATGCGTGCCGTGCTGTAATGTATGCGCGGTGCTCGTTGTATAACAGCTGCGCCAAACAGAGAATTATCACATTTTATCGGTTCGCATTTTTGCCATTTTCGCACATACCACTTAATACACCTGTGACATGAATGTGGATATAATATCATATCACATTATTACATAGTAAGTATGTGTCGCGGAGCTACATTGTGAGTTAGCTTACTCTATAGTAGACTGCGCGTATATTTGCATGGTATATAATTTTGTATTGTGACCCAGCAATTGGAGAGAATTCCAGAGACAACGAGTGAAACCCTAATCTATCGCGCTTCATTTCCCAGGTCCCTACTTCTGCGCCGGCGGCAGCCTCGAGATCTCGCGAGATGCTTGCGTGGCAAACGCGTCGAAAATCGACGGTAACTATGGACGTTTACACTCCGATCTTTGCCGAACATTCACGGTTTTGTCGAGTTTCATACAATATAGTAAATAATTGAATTTGTGTATTTTTTAAAATGGTTTATGTTAGTTAATTCGTACTGTAGATTATTTTAGTTGTAGCGCATAGACTTTCGTAACCTAGTAGTAATTCTTCAGAGCCGGTTTTGTGCTTTA